TGGGCAAAGCAAGGATCTGGGCATTAAAGAAGTGAGTACAAAATTGATGGCGCTGTTGATTATGAGCATAACAACAGTCTTTTTTTTTAACCCAAAGAAGCAATCTTTCATTTCTCATCTTTTTATAAAAAAGCAACAACATTCTCAGAGCTGTTATCGGTGGTCTAGTGGTTAGGTGGCTGGACTTGTAATCATGAAGTTGGGATTTCAAAGATTCTAGACTCTGGCCATACACTGTGTCTTTGGGAAAGGCACTTTACAAAAATTTTCCTCATTTTACTCATATGCAATGAGTACCTGGTCATAAAAAGCGAAAAGATCTTGTCAGTACGTTAGTGTTTAAGTACCTATAAAATGTCTGCTTCCCAGGAAGTTAAGATTGTTTAAGAATGCTTTCAGATCTGCTGGGATAATAATATAGATTGCAAGTTACGTAGAGTTTGCTGTTGAGTTAGACTTTGTGCTTTACAAATGCTATTTATTATTTATTATTGAGGCTATTTCTATAAACTTACTCACCTTCTTTATGTAAGCAATAACCTTAACTCGGTTCCACTTTTGAAATGTTTCCCGTTAGAGTTATCTAAATGAATCTTGCATAAAATCACCACAAAAGGTTTGAAAAAACCGAATTACCTGAAGCAAGCCGGATGCTAAACATTAAACAAATTCTACAATGTATGATGCCTTAAAACATCCCTCTAATGAAAATGGTATAAAACAACAGTAATAAAAATTAAATGATGTGTGTCATTTCACGTCTGTAGGTTTCCGTACTTATACGCACCTTAGTAAGCTGAGGGTCTGGGTCCACTGAAAAAAATGCATTTTGTTACATTGAACATCAATTTTTTAAATGAGAAAACTAAGTCAAAAGAGCGATGATGAAGTTCTGCATAAAATGCTTAAAATGTAGAATATAAGCTACTTTAAAATCATGTGTAATTAAACAATCAAGAAAACAAGTCCCTCTTCGCTCCAGAAAACTATAATGTGAAACAATCTAACTATCCAATTTTGAATTTGAAATTGTCAGACAACAGTCTTCTTGGCAACAATAAAGTCCTAACAATTAGCACCTCAAAAATGTTGAAAAAGAGATATTATATCAAACCATTATGAAGTCTACAGTTCACTTTCAACTAAATATATCAGAACCCTACTCTAGGAGATGAAAAAGTAAAATTTAATGTTTTACCCCCACACAGAAGAAGAAGAAGGAGGAGGAGGAGGAAGAGGAGGAGGAGAAGGAGAAGAAGAAGAAGGAGAAGAAGAAGAAGTAGGAGGAGAAGAATGAGAAAGGGGAGGAGAAAGGTGGGAAGAAAAAGGAGGAAGAGGAGGAGAAGAAAAAGAAGGAGGAAGAGGAGGAGAAGAAAAAGAAGGAGGAGGAGGA